CAAGGTACTCATCGCAGATCTCCTTTCCGAGAAATTGCAAGCTCATGGTTTAAATTGCTTCCTCGACAAAATCTCGATGGAGCCCGGGGACTACGCACGGGATGAAATGACGAAGGCTATGGAATCTGCGAAGGTCGGTGTTTTCATTCTTTCTCCCGAGTTTGCGGCTCGAAAGTGGACGATGAGGGAACTGCGTTGCTTCCTACGCCGACGGAGTGAGGCGATAAGGAGTGGGATGCGACCACCGACATTGATTCCGGTGTTTTACAGACTAAGTATTCGTGAATGCAGAGAGTTGGATCCAAATCGCTACTGGGATGATGAAAGAAAGAATATTTTTGAAGTTGAGAAGTTTTTTAGCGACGAACGACAGCGCGAAGCGAGCACGGATACGGTGAAGAGGGAGCTACAAGAGCTGGCAGATTTCACTGGGATTGAAAATGAAGTAGGGGCAACAAACCTGCCGGGAGATCGATTCGGCCATGATAAAAGGGCACATCTTGTGGAGCAAGTGTTTCTGTGGGTGAAAAAGAAATGTGAGGAGGATTCAAGTGATGAAGTGAGAGAAGTTTTGAATGCAAGTGGCCAAGTTGGAACCCAAGCTGCCGTCACGTCCACCGCACGATGTGCGGTTGATAAGTTCACGCCCTGTATACACGCAGAGCACAATCCCGACGAAATATATTTGCAACTGAATTCTCGGGGGATCGATGGATCACCGAATACGTGTGAGGCGCGGCTAAAGGAGGCCGTGCTAAGTACCGATAGGAATACAAGTATAGGAGCGACGGCAACGGGGAAGGGCGGAGTCGGGAAGACATGCGCTCTTCGAGCGATTGCGCACGACGATGACATCAAGGCTCAGTTTTCAGGCGGAGTGTACTTCATGTCTTTGGGGAAAGACGCCAACGTAGGGCGGCTGATTGAGCAACTGTGTATGGCCGTAAAGGCGTCTGGTGGCAAGCAGGTGGCTGCAGAAATGCGAGAGCAAAGCGAGTTGAGCAGGGTACTGACAGAGATGCGAGCATGGTTCAACACACGTGTATGCCTGTTCATTATTGATGATGTGTGGGCCGTGAATGGTATAGATGCGTGTATTCTTCAGAAGTTGTCCACTCTCGCTGCCGCCACAGGAGACATCCGAGAGAGGAGCAGACTTCTGTATTCCACGAGGGACTCAGAGCTGAAACAGGTCGGTAAGCGAGTGACTTTCGAGCCGAGGGAAAGGGAAGGGAGCGATTCAGTTCACATGCTCATGCTCGCGAGCGGGGCGAACCCGGAGGAAGCGAATGATCCGAGGTGCAAAGAGGCCGTGAGCGAAATCTTGAAATTGTGTGCTGGTTTGCCGCTGGCTCTGAACGTAGCCGGGACGGGTGTCAGGTACATGAGAGATAGATGGGAGGGAGAAAAGTCACAAGCGTGGGAGGCATACCTTTCGAAGATGAAGAGCCGCAACACGATTCGTAGTGAGAGTCCAGGGGATGGGTATTTGTTGTCGTTAGACGCGACATTACATGCGTCACTAGAGATTGTGGAGTCCGGCATAGGGAGCGATGCGGAGAGGTTAGGTCAGTTTTCGTTTCGAAATATACATCGGAGTCTGTGTGTTATGAAGAAGCAAGACGGGATGCCTTTGTCGTTGGTAAGAGATTTGTGGGAGATGGACTACGAATCGGCTGAAAAGTACGCGATTCAGATGGAAAGGGTTGGATTAGTAGACCTTCATTACGACAAGGATTGTGGGTGGGTACGGATGCATGATCTGACGCACGATTTTGCGGTGCAGGAGGCGCAGAAGGAAGAAAGTGTAACGGTTTGGTATAAGAAGTTGGCAGATGTATGCCGGCAGGGAAGAGGACTGCTTGGTATGACTGAGAGCGAGGGTAGAGAGGGCAAGGATGCCAGAGAGAAGTATGTTTTCGAGAATACATATCGCGTTCTGAAACAGGGCGGGTGTGTGGAGGAGCTGAAGAATCTATTCTTGAGTGCGCGATGGGTGAAGGCAGTGATACAGAGAGGAAGTGTGTGGCAATATGAGGAAGCTGTAAAGGATCTCAATAGCTTTTTGAGGAACACGGGAGGAAGCGAGAGCCTTTTAAGGGATACGGGAGAAGAAGGTTCGGTGTATGCGATGGAATTGATGATGAGAGCTGCACGACTGAGTGTACCTTTTTGTGATGAAAGCAGTGCAGGGATTTACTTTCAACTGTACGGAAGAATCAAGCACAGGGCATCAGAATTAGGTAGCGTGCAAAGGATACTCGAGGAAATCGAGGAACACACGCCACGACCATGGCTGCAGCCTGTGAGTGAATGTGTAGGGCGAGCGGGAGGAAGTTTGGTGGAGCAGATTGTGCTTCCGAGTACCGCTCACGAAGTCGGCATGGACTCAACGGGTGGCGTGTATGGACACTATTCGAACCCGGGCGATACCAGGATCACAGTTTTCACACAGTCTCCGGACAAGGAAACGAAGATGACTGAATTAGGCAACGATTTTGAAACGGGGAGCCGAGAATTAACGTGCGGTTGTGTCAGTATGAGCAAACGCTATGCGGTTATCGGATATGGTGATGGGACACTACAGTTCTGGAGTGTATCGGAAAAGAAAATTTTGTGGAGTGTCTGCGGTCATGAATCGCGGGTGCGTAGCGTTGCGATGAGTGGTGATGGAAAACGTGCAGTATCTGGATCGGATGACATGAGCGTACGAGTTTGGGACGTGGACACAGAACTGCAAATCGGCGACGCATTAACTGGACACGCGGGTTCGGTGGCGAGCGTTGGGATGAGTAGTGATGGAAAACGTGCAGTATCTGGATCGGAAGACGAGAGCGTACGAGTTTGGGACGTGGACACAGGACTGCAAATCGGCGACGCATTAACTGGACACACGGATGGTGTGGATAGTGTTGCGATGAGTGGTGATGGAAAACGTGCAGTATCTGGATCCTGGGACAAGAGCGTACGAGTTTGGGACGTGGACACAGGACTGCAAATCGGCGACGCATTAACTGGACACACGGGTCTGGTGACGAGCGTTGCGATGAGTGGTGATCGAAAACGTGCAGTATCTGGATCCCGGGACAGAAGCGTACGAGTTTGGGACGTGGACACAGGACTGCAAATCGGCGACGCATTAACTGGACACACGGAGGCGGTGTATAGCGTTGGGATGAGTGGTGATGGAAAACGTGCAGTATCTGGATCAGAGGACGAGAGCGTACGAGTTTGGGACGTGGACACAGGACTGCAAATCGGCGACGCATTAACTGGACACACGAGTGTGGTGTCTCACGTTGCGATGAGTGGTGATGGAAAACGTGCAGTATCTGGATCCTGGGACGGGAGCGTACGAGTTTGGGACGTGGACACAGGACTGCAAATCGGCGACGCATTAACTGGACACACGGATGGGGTGAAGAGCGTTGCGATGAGTGGTGATGGAAAACGTGCAGTATCTGGATCCCGGGACAGGAGCGTACGAGTTTGGGACGTGGACACAGGACTGCAAATCGGCGACGCATTAACTGGACACACGGATAGGGTGACGAGCGTTGGGATGAGTGGTGATGGAAAACGTGCAGTATCTGGATCGGAGGACGAGAGCGTACGAGTTTGGGACGTGGACACAGGACTGCAAATCGGCGACGCATTAACTGGACACGCGGGTTGCGTGACGAGCGTTGCGATGAGTGGTGATGGAAAACGTGCAGTATCTGGATCCTGGGACGAGAGCGTACGCGTTTGGGACGTGGAGAAAGGGAGTACAGTTCATCTCGGAAAGTTGAAGGACTGGCGAGATATCGTGGAGAGATTTCTGAATGCAGAGGACGTCTCTCGCACTGGACATAGGCGCAAAAGGCTCGAAGTTTTTGAGATCGAGGGGAAAATTGTGCATGAGCGAGAGGATGGCTCTGAGGCTGTTTTGGCGCAGCTGGAGAGTATGGTATTCTGGTGGGAGGTAGACGATAATCATGGGGTCTTTGTTGCAGCGGCCGGCCACCGGGTGGCTATTATGAAGCTAGTGGTCTAGGTGTGTATAGGTCTAGGTGTGTATATTCTTCTTCCCTTGTCCTCTCGGCCAGACACAGACGTTTCTATTGTACGGTACGTGGTGGCACCTGTGGTGGGGATAGCCTGTTTGGTTTTTTTACATGTAAAGTCTTGAGAATTCCAGTTTATTGACCGCGTCGTCTGGAATCTTCTGCGGCGTGCAAAAGGGAGAAATACATGAGCTGTCTTCAGGAATCGTCAGTGGGGGCGAAACGCAGCCTGATGCGTGCTACTGTCTCATGGCGATGCTATGGCCCCTGTCCCATGAGCATGAGAAATGCATGGGACATATGCACGGGTTGACGATGAATACGTAGGATACACGATGGAAATCGATTCATCCCGTTTCGTGTGGTGAAGGCCGACAGCTTTTGAAGTTTCTGTGGAAGCGAGCGATTTCCTGCGCAATGGCGGTGGCAACAGGGAGCTCAGGCACGTCCTCAGGAGGTACGGTACCCTTCTCACTCTCTGCCTTCCTTGAGAGAGTGGCACCTTGAGAGAGTGGCACCCTGTTTTGTAGTGCCGTGCTGTTTGCATGCATCCTTACACACGAACAATGAGGTGGCTTTCTGTGCGTACCGTACGTCGCTTCTTTTGACTCGTGACAAAATCAGACGAGGTCCGTCGTGTGTGGCGCTCTGGTTCCATTCACGGATGGGATGTTTTGCCAGGACGTACGGCCCTCCCTCCAGTTCCCGGCAGAAAATTCACATCAGTCGCTGCCCTATTTGCCTGCACTAGGGTCTAAGTAGCTACGGTGCGTCACTCTCTCCTGTCTCAGCCGGCTTCAACGATAGCAACAAGGGCAAAAAAAGAGCGTCAGGCGCTGTCGTTAGTATGTACACGTCAATAGTTTGTTTTATGCTCCCAAACCAAGGGGGGAGAGAGATGCACAACTGTTAGCGAAAACATTGGCACTACTATATACACACAGGAGGTTTTTGTCAAGAAGCGACAAAAAAACCACCCTCGAGAGATGCTATCACCGATTTACCTGGGACGACCTGGGGCGGCTCCATATCATCTTCGTCCTTGATCCGTCCCTTTACCCGGGGCTGTGCATCCGCAAGCTTCTTGCGGCAGTCGTACCGGATAAGTGTTCCAAACCTGCGCCCTCTGTGCTTTAGCCAAAACCGAACCAAGGCGGCCTCCCTGGTCTTCTTCTTAAACTCGCGTATGGGTTCCTGCTTCTCGTGCTCGATGCGAAGCTTTCTGTGTGCCTGGGTCTCGGGCTGGACGGGGCCCTGGGGGCGGTGTTGCATGTGGGCGGCGTGGGCGGGCTGCATGACCATGCCCTGAGGAAAGGCCGGGTGCTGGGCACCGGCAAACATGACCATGCGTTGCGGGGCATGGGCATCATTTGCGGGTGCTGGCCGGTCATGAACATGCCGTGCAGGTGTTGGTGGGGTGCGATGTGAGGAAGAAGGGCTGAGCCGGGTGGTGGACGGGAGAACATGCTGTCGGGCATGTCCTCCGTCTCCCCTGACGGCCGCTACCCGTCGGCCTTCACTTTGCCGGACGCGCGTTCCGGCGCCCAGCTCGGCGCCCTTACGGGCGGCAGGGTCGGCATCGCATTTAATGGCGTCGAGATGGCCCTGCTTGGGCTCACCATCGCCATTCGTGCAAACTTTGCACCCAAGAAAGGCGCCGAGGAGGCGCCGAGGAGGTGCCGCTATACACCCTGATCACCCTCGGGGTGACGCCACCGCGGACGAAAAACCTTGTCCAATTTTCCAACCACCAACTTTTAGGCCATTGGGCAAGATTGGTGTGGTAAAAGGGAGTGCCCCCTGGCCAGGAGACATGTGGAGAGGGATGTGCACAGTATATGTAGTAGCGATATTCAACAATTGGCATACCCCACCGCGCCTCTACGATTCCCAAAGTTCGGAAATTGCGCAAGATTCTCGCCCAAACCAAAAATGTTCCTAAAAAACAGTCTACAAATTTAACAGATTTTCATCGTGCTGACAGTTGTACCGAAAGGGACGTCCCCTTTGGTAGAACTGAGTTGACAGGCTGATGTTGACATCAGGCTGACATCAACCTGTCAACATCAGCCTGTACGCACAGCGTGCCCAGACTGCCCAGACACTTGGCTGTGGACGCCAGAGCACAGTCGCAGGTTGTGCTTTTCTCTCTTGAGCGCGACATTGTTCCCGCCCGCGACAGATTGGGAATGCAGCGGTGGGGTCCAGTCCCATGACAGACCCCCTTTGCCCAAATCGTCGCTTGCCCAAGCGATAGTCGAGCCAATTAAAATGTGCCAGCTGTCAACGTTTTGGAGTTTTGGGCGAGCCGCGGTGGGGTCACCCTCGTGGTGCCGCTTGCTACGGCGTTTGTGATACCGGGGGGTCCCGCGACATAGTGCCATACCAGAACAGACCTCGACAAGTGGCACTATTGCGTGGGTGGCACTATATAGAAGCCGCATTTTTCCTACAAATTGGGAACGTTAGAAAGACATATCATTGATTGCTTTGAAACAAATATACGTGTAGACGTGTAACCAGTATGATAACCTGTGACAGAGCTCTAGCTATAGCACTATATCGGGGGAGGCACTACTCCAAGTAACACTATTGCGCGATCCCCCCCTGTACAGCAGTCTACGAGAGAATCAACTTGCGCACGTGCTACGAAGTACTGTAAAGCTTTAGAAGAAATCTGCAGCAAAATTGGAAAGCACTTTTGCCACGCTTATATTCGCCTACATTTAGAGTAAATCGCTCCGCATGAGCAGGGACTCTCGCTTTCTTCGTCAAGATCCAGTTCCTCTCCGAGCCTCCCTTCGTCGACACTGCCCCGCCAGACCCCACGTCCCCTCGCAGCAACCGCTCTCCACCGCTCTCCTTACGAATGCACCCACAAAAACCGTCACCATCTCCAGTCCCTCAACTTCCACAGCAGATTCTTGGTCAAGAGCCGTCGAATGTTCAGCTCAGCAGATCCGAACGGGACCCAACTTGCCGCCCGTACGTCCCCCATTCCACACCAAACATTCCTCAAACAGCGTCTGGGGTGAGGCAGGGCGCTTTCCCGCTTTCCCGCTTTCCCGCAGCCACCAACAACCTAACGCGGGCTCCCAGCCGTCGTCAACGGTTGCCCCTGGTGCCCAGGAAAGAGTCGCAATCGAAAGTGGAGTCACCAGGGCTCCGCAACCCTGACGCCGCCTTTGATCGCACCCGGCGACCACAGGATTCCGTGCCAAGACAGGAAGGCGCTTTTTCAAATGTACACAAGTCTTTGCAGACGGGCGTTCGAAGCATGGGGGCCACGCAAAGGATGAGAATTGCACAATTTGCTTGACCGCTAAAGTGAACATGCCGGGTGGGAGCCTAACGTCACCTTTGTGAACGTCGAGCTATCAGGAAAGGCGATACAATCTGGTCCATATTCGGGAGCAGCACGTTCCTTCGCGCGAGTCAGCCACGAAGCTTCCCCACATGCGTCCGCTCCAACAGTCGCCGCCGTTTCCACTCCACCCACCTTCCCCATCCGGCCCCCT